AATGAAGATGAGGATAGTCCAAAACATTCATTCAATATTAACAACAATTCATTTGAAAGTCTCTGACAAAAACAACAATGAAGATGTGGATAGTCCAAAACATTCATTCAATATTAACAACAATTCATCTGAAAGTCTCTGACAAAAACAACAATGAAGATGATAGTCCAAAACATTCATTGAATATTAACAACAATTCATCTGAAAGTCTCTGACAAAAACAACAATGAAGATGATAGTCCAAAACATTCATTAAATATTAACAATTCCTATCAAAGTTTCCTACACAAACATTTTCCCTAATGCTGTTTTTCCATGGTGATTAGCAGCCATTGCAGTTAAAAGGTCATTGAAAGATCTCATTCAATCTCATCTGATATTATACAGTTTAGTTTGCCAAGAGACTTGTAAAAACTAATAAAGTATAGCTCATTATATTTGCTTAATGAACTGTGAATTCCCACATTTGATATTGTTCTGCTTTAATATTTCTATGATAATCTGTTTCATTATGTTCCGATTTGTTTATTGTCTTCTCATTACACAATTTGTTAAGATATTTAATGAAAGCTTATTTATAGTAAATCTGACCAACAATTGTAAGATTTTGCTTCATAATTCATTATTACATCTTGGGTGTTAACTTTCAGTTTTTCTGAGCCATAAATAGTCATTTACATTATTTATATTTGGACTATTGTCCTCATCTTTCTTGTTGTTATCACAACATTTCAACCATTAGTCTCTCAGGCCTTCATGTGTCTATTGATCCTAACATACAGAACATTTCAAACTGAATCATTTATTTACACTATCTCTATTCAGACTATTGTCCTCGTCTTTGTTGTTGTTATCATGTTTCAGCCATTGTGCCCTCCAGCCTTCATCAGATCTATATCTTGTCTAGTTCTTATTTTAGATGTGCAATTATCACTTGCTTATTTCCACTGCCTGGTCAAGGGATTGAACTCACAATTACTATGTCACCAAATTCACAAACCAATGTTTTAATCCACTGGGTTATTGTTACATGGAAATAATATTGTCTCTGTGGAGAACTTGGGGCCTTAGACCAAACCTGGCTACTGAGGAGTACTGCTTGTCATGCTTGACTGAACTCACCAAAGCTTTTCTCTTTTGTTACAGCTGCTGCTGATTGTTGAAGACTTGCTGTCATTTGTCTTTCTTTCTTTCTTTCTTTGTGGCTCCTATACTGTATTTATTTCTACGCTAGGCCTACTTAGGAGGTCCTCATACCCTAGCATATGCACTATCTTGTATTCTTTCTTGTTCTGTATTTTCAGTTCCTTCTTCAGGGGCTGATAACTACCCTTTTCTCTTCATATATGATCAGCCATACCTGATTTCATTGTATCACCCCTCACTATGGCTTTTCAATGTTCCTGCAACCTTATATTTAAGATGCAGCTTGTTTCACCTTTATATTCTTTGCTATAACTGCAAAGTATGGATTACACACAGTAATAGCTCTGTGATAGGGTATTAAATACGTGTAACGTCTCTATTTCTCCCTTTTTCCATCAATTTGAGGTATTAACATCCTCTATTGATAAAGCTGAATGCTTTGCCTATAAATTCTTCTTAAATTCTACTCTTGACTTATCTGAAGTATCCCTACCTAACTTCCCACTTAGAACTGAGTCTCTGTTGACTGATATGCATATAGCCTCTTCTATGGTTTCTGCTCTCATCACTAACCTGGATCCCCACCAAGCATATGGATTTGATGGTATCCCTGTAATAGTCATTATGAAGTGCATTTCCAAACTGCCTCCTGTTCTCTCTAAACTGTATAATAAATACCTCACTACCTCCTGCTATCCTGCCTGCTGGAAGTCATTGTCTTTTGTTCTAGTTTTTAAGAACTCTGATAAACCATTTGACCCTTCCAACTATCAAACTATTAGCCTTCAACCTCTTTTTGGGAAACTCCTAGAGGCCCTAATCAATGCCAAATTGATTCATCATCTCTAATCACAGGGCCTTTTTTTCTGACAAGCAATATGTCTTTCACTTCTCCAGGTCAACTTCTGATGATGTATTGACAACAATTGTGGAAAGAGTCTATCATGCCCTTATAAAAATGGTGAAGCATTGGACATCTCAAAAGCTTTTGACAGGGTTTTGGGATACAGGTTTTCTCTACAAGCTGAAAAGTTACGGTGTCTCTGGACACATTTTTGAACTGAACCAATCTTTCCTACCAAATCGTGAAATGAAGGTTATCCTGAATGACCACTCATCTACATCCTTTCATACTAATGCAGGTGTCACCCCACTACCCCACCACCACCCACCCCCAGGGCTCCCCAGCCTTGGTCCTACTCTGTTTTTAATTTTCATTTATGATCTTCCTAGTGACATCAGCTCTGAACTTGTTATCTACACTGAAGACACAACTATTTACTCCTGCCTTGATAGTCAAACTAATCAGTCCAACAAGAATAAAATGGAAACTGATGTGCAAAAAGGCAACAAATCCATTATTAACTGAGGCAAAAGATGGTTTGTTAATTTTAATTCCTCCAAAACTAAACTTATCTCCATTAATCATCTGAGAGACTCCTCTCTGCTTTCCATCAGCATGGCTGATGCTAACCTCCAGGAAAGTAATTTGTTGTTCATTCTCACGCTAACCTTCTAGGCTAACATGAAGTGGAAAAATATTGAATCCATTTCTAGGTCAGCTGCTAAGAAAATTGGTTCACTGTGTCATCCAAGATAATTTTTCTCTCTAGAATCTATATTATATATCTATATGTCTACCATTCACCCATGCTTTGAATATTGCTGCCACATATGGTCCAGTGCCCCAGCTATTTACCTGGTGATCCTTGATAAGATCCAAAGAAGAATCAGCAATATTATTGGTCCTGATCTGGTGGTTCAGCTCCAGTCACTTTCCCATTCTATCCAGATAACTTTAATCTTCAAATATTTAAATGCAGTGTCAATCACTATCTGCTGTCTTCCTCATTACTCTTTCCTCTTCCCACTCATTATTAATGTCTCTTTTCCTAATTCTTCCACATCCTGTAAGCCTTTGTGTCTTAGTGACTTTACTGCCCTGCATGGGATGATACCAATTGAAAAAAAATAAATGTTCTTGGACACATTAGGCTTAATTCAGCAGAAATTTCTCCATAGAGTGAAGCTGCTTCTGAATAATGTCTTGATGTCTCGACCACAGATCAGTAAATAGTTTTCAAAATATTGGTGCTCTCATCAACATCGTGTAGCATTTTCTGGCTGCATTTCTGGGATGAGGAATTACTATTATTTACAGTCAGACTAATGTCATCACCTTTGTTATTAAGATCACAATGTTTCAGCTGATGTACCCTCTGGCTTTCTTCAGGTGTCTGTTGATCCAGGTAACCTTCAAGGAATTTCTGTTAGTTCCAATCTAATAGGAAATGACTGTAAAACACTTTTCCCCACCCCAATTTATAGACAGAAGCATACAAATGCATGCTGGGATTTCTTCCTAGCCAATAAAATAGGCCAGTTCTCAGTTTCATCTGACTCAGTTCCAGTCTGTCTTGTCTTGAAGTCAGAATGCTGCATTTGCTTATCCAAACTTGCTTTTGTGTGTCAATGCCAATTCTTAGTTTGTGAACTTTTTACCATATTACTTTGCCTTATTACTGTTAATTTGCCTTGAATAGATTGTTTGCTTGCTTTAGATTATTTTTTGTCCTGTTCTTTTCTCTTCTTTTTCTTGTTATTGCTTATTGCAAACTTTGTCAATTCTGTTTGTTGCGCAGTTCTGTCACTTATTTTGCCTTTGACCATGGCCACTCTACATAGACAAATCATAATACCTCATCTCAGAGATATAGACAGATACTGTTGCTTTGTTTTATTACTGTTAATTTGCCTTGCATATATTGTTTGCTTGCTTTAGTTCTGTTAGTTATTTTGCATTTAACCATGGCTACTTCCTCCACACTTTGTTCAACTTGAAATTTGCCCTTTCTGTCTACCTTTTATTGGCTGTTCTGATGACACCTTCCTTTATCCCTTAAGCTATTCAAGAGAATAAAAACAAAAAACAATCCTTCATGGAGAATCTTCTGTCTGCTGTCATTTGTTCTAGGCCACCCAATACAGGTTGCATTCTCTCTCACACTTATTAGCTGGGTACTGTGGTACTTGTCCTGAAACTGGTCTCTCTTCAAATGATTATCTCATTGTTTACTCATCCCACTTTAATGCAATGGATCTGTTGTGGAGAGGTTTGTTTCTAATCCTATATAGAATGACTGCAAAACACTTCCCCCTCCCCCATTTTATAGACAGAAGCACACAAACACATGCTGCGATTTTATTCCTAGCCAATAAAATAGGCTGGTTCTTGGTTTTATCTGACTCAGTCCCAGGCTGTTTTGTTTTGAAGTCAGAACACAATGTTTGCCTATCCAAACTTGCTTGTGTGTCATATTACTGTTGCTTTGCCTTATTACTGTTAATTTGCCTTGTATATATTGTTTACTGGCTTTAGATTATTTTTTGCAATGTTCTTTTCTTTTTCTTGTTGCAAACTTTGTCAATTCTGTTTGTTGGGCATTTCTGCCTTTTATTTTACATTTAACCATGGCCACTCACTCTACAATTTCAAACTGAACACTTTATTTAATCTATAGGAAAAGAATGTTCTCATTGTTTGAGTGTATACCATGATTTGAGGGAACAAGTTTGAAATAACACAATGTGATTTGCTTTGTTTTTTTGTTTTTTTAAGTTATGACCCATAATGAGTTATGTAATTCTGGTTATTTTAGGGTAATACCTCATACCAGTAAATTAAATTTCTGGGATAAATTTGAATAAGAAATCAGATAAGTTTTTATAAAATTACAATAAAAAATGGAACAAACCCAAACATTCATATTGATTTTGTTCTAGGAATCCTCCATAAAACTTAGATTTCATATTTTGAATTAAAACCTTATCTAAATATGTTTTCTTCACTTCAGACCGGACGAGTGGACATAAATGCTCCAAGGGTGACTGGTCATGCTGGCACAGTACTTGATATTAAATGGAATCCATTTGATGACAATGTGATAGCCTCAGCTGCAGATGACAACACAGTGAGTAATAATTTCTTTTTTTTAATTTTCAGCTTTTTTTTTTTCCTTCTCCTAGATGAGAACATTATTTAGTAAAAAAAAAAAAAAATGAGAAAACTAATAATAATAATAATAATAATATGAACATTTCTCTTAATAATAATTTTAAAATAATTCAGCAGACAATGTTATTTTATTTATGGTAATTGGATTTTTAGTGATTTCTTTCTCAGTTACCATCATTTGATACTGTATATCTGAAAAATGGTGATTTTTATTGCGACTATCATTGCTTCTTAGCCTCTTGGCTGGGATCAAAGATCAGGATATTAGACTGAACGTAAATAATGTAAACTCACCAAATCCCTGTCTTATGAACATTCCTCTTAATAATAATTTTAAAATAATTCAGCAAACGATGTTATTTTATTTATGGTAATTAGATTTTTTATGATTACCTTACTCAATTTCCATTGTTCAATACAGTGCATCTGAAAAACGGCCATTTTTGTTACAGTTGCCATCACTCCTCAACCTTTTGGTCAAGGATGATACTAATTAATATTAGGCCAAGCTCCAAAGAGCCCTACCCTTCTAGCATTGATTCTTCATTGGGAGGGGCCTGGGTTCATTGCCCAGCACCTGAGGTGTCCCCAAAAAGGGAATGTGCTGAGAGGGTTTCGGCAATTTTCCTGCAGCATTGCTGTTAAATGCACTTTAAACCTCGAACATGTCATTTCCGGTGCAATGTGGGAAATCTGGTAAATACAATCACCTTGTAGGCCTTTTGGCTAAGATTAAAGTGTAGTATCTGTCTACCATTCTGACTCAAGCATAAACTGGACCTATGTTTACCTTTTTTGACACTAGTGTTATATGTATATACTTTCTGCAACTGCGGTACTTAAAAGAATTTTCTAAATATTTTTAGCAGCCGTAATCTTGTGTTCTTTATACAATAGATACTAATTGTTTTTTGTTTTGTCTTTTTTTTTCCACAGGTGAAAACCTGGCGAATTCCTGATCATGGCTTACACAGCAACTTAACTGAATGGCTTGTAGACTTACATGGTCACCAACGCAAAGTGACCAATATTGAATGGCACCCAACGGCTTCTAACATTATTCTTAGTGCTGGTATGGACCATAAGGTAAGCACTGTTTATAGATTGAATAATTGTCTTCAGAATCTGATGGTAAGACATTCTGGTCTGACAACCTCATGCACAGAGTCTTCACCATCTGAAGAGGTGCTAGCCCTACCTCCAATGGTAATTATTTGTTCACTTTCTGAGCACTCACTGCTAGTGTCACTTGTTGACGTATCTGTACCTACATAGTGACACTAGCAGTGAGTGCTCAGAAAGTGAACAAATAATTACCATTGGAGGTAGGGCTAGCACCTCTTCAGATGGTGAAGACTCTGTGCATGAGGTTGTCAGACCAGAAGAATGTTCTGAAGATTCTTCTTTTTCACTACAGACATTCACCTTAAAATAAATAAAAATGAGTAGTATTCAAGACATCAGACCGTAAAAGTGAGATAGCTGATTTGAGCTTTGATCATGAAATGCATCCATGCAGCTGTGGCTTCTTCTTCTATGTGCTATGTTCATTTAAGACATTGGCAAACATGGCTCTCCACAATTTCCTTTCATTTGTAGCATTTAATAAATTTTGTCTTTCTGATATTTACCCTAAACTCTGATCTGATATTCATTTACTCAAGCTCATTAGCTAGATTATGCACTGCTTTCATCTGTCCTGCTTGTCTTCAATCTGTCCT